AGTAGCGAGGATCATGGGAGCAGAGCAGCAGCAGCAGCAGCTGCCGGCGACGCAGCCACTGCCGCCGGAGTAGTTGCAGTGATACTGATGACTATCGTAGTAGTAGTCCTAGTAGCAGTAGTACTAGAAATAGTGGCAGTAGCACTAGCAGCAGGAGTAGTAGTAGTAGTAGTAGTAGCAGCAGCAGCAGTAGTGGTAGCAGAAGTTGTTGTAGCAGTCGTAGTAGGAGGCGGCAGCAGCAGAAAGCAGCTCGTCTGCAATTCTTGTACTCCCTATTTGTCCAAGGACCCAAATACTAGGGCTTTAGGGCCAAAATACCATTGATAATATATTATTTGGGTCTTAAAACCCCATTATTTGGGTCCTTGGACTAGGACTACCACCATGGCGACATGTACTAGCAATCACGCTTAATCGTGATAGCAGCAAGGCAACGAAAATCATAGCATATTGCTTGGGCACTGCCCCCATCCCATAACACATAAATATTAGGGGGCATCATAAAGGCTATACATATATATATACATATATATAATGTGAACCAGCTGTTACAGCGCGGGGGGCAGTACCCAGAGTATTGCGGTAACACTAAACCTTAGGCTAAAACCCTAAGCCCTGAATTCAACGGAGACCTCGCTATGGAGCTGCTCAAAGCGGACTTCAGCGTTTCTCATGGACCATCTCTCGACTGTCAATCGATGACCTTGGTCACCAACATTCACTGCAAGGTTGCATCCCAAGGCACTCTATGCGGTTTAGAGTTTAGGGTTTGGTGAGTGGAGGAAGTCTTGCACTTGTCAGGATCCCCTGCTGTATACTGTAATTTATACGGGATATAGGGTAATTGCGTGAAGGGGTGCCAGATCTCCTCCATCCCTAACATAACGGTATAGCCCCTATACATCCCCGATGTCCGTGTCAGTGTCTAGTTGATTCTGCGCCATTGGAACCCGAAACCCTAAACCTCTTAGCAAGTTCTACTTCATTTCAGAGTTATTGTCTCCTTATCCTCGGTTCTCCGTTACTTGCTGGGGTAATACTCCCATCTATCACCCTATACACACACCTATTAACAAATATATATATATATGTATATATATATATAGCCCTGTAATCACCACAACACCACTCTGCAAGTCCTAAACAAAAGGTACATATCATCCCTGTAGTACGGACCCTATACTTTTGATATATGGGCCCGCACACAGACACTCTAAACCTCAAACCCTACACCCAAACCCTAAATATTACATGAGCTGTTTTCTAAACTCCTAGATCCCGGATACTCCTAGTATCATCCTTGCTAAGCCCTATCTCAGGAACCCTATATAGTTCCCTATATACCCCCCTTCAAGGAGTTTAGAATACAGCTCAAATGGGAAGGAAGGAGCCTCCAAAAAGTCTCTGCGACCCAGTTGCCCATAGAATTCAGTCGCCCCTGCGCGCGCAGGGTTTAGGGAACCATTTTTCAACCAAGACGTTCTCAACCCTTTTTTGAGCACGGACGGACTTGGAAAGGCGCCGGCACACTCAACAGCAGTGACTTCACGCACTGGAGCACATGGTTTGAGAGAGCCCTTAAATCATCCTAAACCTAAACCCTTTTCACTAAACCTAAACCGTAACCCTAAACC